ACCCTGAGCCACTCTGTCTCAAAAATTAAAAAACACAAAAAGGGCTGGGGGTGGAGGTCAGTGGAAAGGGGCTTATATATTCCAGTTACCACTATCAAGCTAATTAACACAGCAATCACTTCACATAGTTACCTCTTTTATGTGAGAACCTTTAAGCTCTTAGCATTTCAAGTAAACAATAAAGTATTATTTTGTCCCTTTTAAAAATAAATGTTTGTGATACATAATATATTCATTACGGGGAACTGATACATATATACTGTAGTTTGATTCTTTTTACTTCTCCTTCTTCTCCTCTCTTTCCTGTCTTCCCTATCCTCAGGTCCCCTTCCAACAGCATAAAGTCTATATCCCTGTTTCCTAAGATCTAGCTTTCATTTTGCTCTTTAATTATTTATGTTTTGAGTTTCTCCTATAAGAGAAACCATGTGATATTTAAGCTTGTGTATCTGATTTATTTCACTTCAAATTATGGTCTCAAGGTGCATCCATTTTTTGACAAATGATTCAAATTGATTCCTCTTTATGGCAGAGTAATAATCCATTGTTCTAAGTTTTCCTTTATTCTTATAATTCTGAAGGTTTTTTTGGGGGGGGGATGGGGTCATCTAGCAGCTAATGATTCCATCCTTGCATGGTATCTTGTCCATTCTAGGGTACTGTTGAGTACTGTAGGTCTACTACAACCATCTTGCCTTCAGTTTATGACACTGTGTCCTCAATTTGGTCAAATCTGCTACCCATGCTTTCTACTAAATTTTTTGTATCTTGTATTTCTGCTTGCTCTCTTTTGATAATTTCTAATTCTTTACCAAAATGGTTATTTATATCTCATATTGTTTTGTTTAACTCAATTTATTGTGTTTCTTCTTTAAGATCATCAAGTATTTTATTAGTAAAATCCTTTATCTGTTTAATTAAATCCTCTTTATACTTGCTGAACATATTATGAATGTGCTTATGTGGTCTCTGATCTCTTCAAATATTTTGATTTTTGAGTTCTTTGCATATAATTTCCTCTATTTCAGTATCCATAGAATCAGCCTTTGGGGAGTTAAAGATTTTTAGAGGCATCTTTTTGCCTTGATTCTTCATATTTCAGTTGTTTTTGTATTGCGAATGGAAGAGCAGTTTGCATAGAAAAACAGTCACTAGTGTAGATATGGGTTTTCTTATATTTTGGTGTCTATATCCCTCCTCAATCTACTCAGAATAATATCTGAGGGTCTTGGTATCTTGGTATCCAAACTTCTGGAAGATTGATTCACAGCTCTGAGAGAAGAGAAAATGAACTGCAGTAATGTTGGCGACAGAAAGACAAACCAGACATTGGCATACAGGAAAAATCCATTAAAACAACAACTATGCCACCATTAACAATAGAAAGGAAATCAGCAATAAGAATGGAATTAAAACCAAACTGCATTTTCTAAACCATAAGAAACAATAAAAGCCAGAACTATACCGCATTTAACAATAGAACAGAGATCTACAATAACAATATAGACACAAAGACAAACCAAATATTGACATACAGAAAATATCTATTACAAGTAACATCTATGCCACCTTTACCAATAGACAATAATTCAACCATAATATCAGAGTCAATAATCTGACCCTGTGCTTCGCACACAGGAAAGAATGTTCCCCTGCACTCTTTGTGGATGGAGGAACCTGCCTCTGCTTAGCCTTCACTTCAAGTTGACTCCATGCCTGTGGATTATGTACCCTGGCCATGACCACCCACCAACTATAAGCCTGCTCTGTGTTTTATTTCACTTCAAGATAGAGCAACAGAGGCATCAACCAAACAACCAACCTGATCATGGAAAAGCCCAGGGTCCCAGGAGAGAAGGTAAGCCCTGGAGAGTTAGCAGCTCCAGGATAAATAGTGCACCTGGCTAGTAATGCTAGCTTCAAGAAAAGCCCATGGCTATTGTAAACTACAAAAACAGTGTGAGGTTTTACTCTGAAAGTGACTCCTTTGCATCAGGCTAGAGTTGGAAAAGAAACCCAGTGCAGTGTCAACCCAATTGCCAAAGTGTTTAATCAGGGTCAGTTTGGGGGAGGGTTTGTTTAAAATGGAGCCACAGAACAACTGCACTTCAGAGTTTCCAGTGCTAGCATCCCACAGTGACTGGGTGAGAGACAGCTGTGGGAGACAGCTGCAGAGAGGGTACAGGCTAGACACAGATCCCTGAGAAGTTTAAACTCAGGCCCAGGTACATCTTTGCCCACCATAGTGAGAAACCAGACACAGTGAGTGTAGTGTGGCTTTAAAGGAGGCTGGATTTGAAAATGTTGGCATTAAGTTCAAGAGTCGGCTTGCATCTTTGGCCCAGGGCCTACATACATCAGAAACCAGAGGGCTGATTGCTTTTCCCATCTACCAATGTGAGCAAGGAAATGTCTCAACTTGAATAGTTGCCACAGTCTGGGGTTTATGGACAAAGGGATCCCTGGAGCAGAAAGCACACCTCACAAACCCACACCCACAAACCTAGGAGAAAAGTGTGACTTCCTGGATTCCAAGACTGCAGATTCTGGAAAGAAGCCACTCATTCAAAACACAGAGAAATTTTTCTATTGACTTAATTTTTTTCTTACTTTCCTTCATTCATGTTTTGGGGGCTTGAGGTTTATTCTTTTTTCTCTTTCTCCTTTTTTTAACTTTTCTCCCTCCTTATTTCTTTTTTCCCTACATTTTGCTCTCTATTCTTTCTTTTTTATTTTTCATGTTCATTATTTTTGGTTGCTGTTATCTAATGCTATTAATTTCCTTTTACTCCTCAATAGGATACCCTAAGTCACTTCTCTCCTCATCTTCCATTGATTAATATTTCAAATATTTCTGTTCTCATTCTCTGGTTCCCCACCCCTCCATCTTTCCTAGTACAGCCATTCAGCTTTATGAATCTTTAGAGATAGTTAACTATGCTATTACTATTGAATAGATTGCTATTGTGGGTGGAGATAAAGTTGTTCCATTTAATAGATATTTATTGTAGGTCAATGTTTGGTTTGTCTTAGTGTTTATACTATAAGTATAAATCTCTTTTCTATGGTTAAACATGATATATTATTGGTTGTCAGGGTATGTCAATTCTTAGTTTGTCTTTGATGCTATAATTGTTGCTGATTTTATTAATATAGCCAAGGTGATACAATTGTTGTCATTAATTAATTATCCCTGTATACTAATATCTGGATTACTTTTGTGTCATTAGCAATACTGTAGCACATCTTGGAGAACTAGGTACTGGGCAAAATACACTGTAGCCTCCTCTCCCAAATAAATGGAGATGATTTTATTCTGGGACTGAGGCAAAGGCCTATAGTAAACCATGCCCAGAACTCAATTCTAAAATACATATGCTAACTAAGGAGGTTTCCAGACTAGCAACAAAGCCTTTCACTGTAATGAACTTGGAAGCTTCTGCACAACAAACAAATAAACAAGCTAATCTCTTTAATGACCATAGATGCCAAAATCCTCAACAAGATACTGGCAAAGATAATGCAACAAATCATAAAAAGATTATACATCATGATCAAGTTCACTTTATCCCAGGGATAATGATCCTCTAATAGAAGCCCCCCCCATTCAACCAAAAGACTCCTAGAATTAATAGCCATACTCAGGAATATAGCAGGATGCAACAACACACAAAAATCAATAATGTTCCTGTGAGTCAATAATGAGGTTGCTGAGAAAGAAATTAAGAAACCAATACCATTCACAATAGCATCATGAACAATTAAATACTTGGGAAATAACCTAATTAAGAAGGTGAAAGACCTCTACAATGAAAACTACAATCCTATGAAAAAAGAGCTTGAAGAGGGCATCAGAAAATGGATAGATATCTCCTGTTCCTCATAGGCATAACCAATATAGTCAAAATGGTCACACTTCCAAAACTAATGTACAGATTTAATGTGCTCACAATGAAAATACCAATATCATTCCTCAGAACTAAAGAAAAATAATCCTGAATTTCATATGGACTATAAGAGACCAAGAACAGCAAAAGCAATCTTGAGTAACAAGAGCAAAGCAGGAAGCATCACAATCTTGGCCTTGAAGTTATATTGCAAAGCTACAGTGATAAAAACATGGTACTAGCAAAAAACAGACATGTGGATCAGTGCGACAGAATAGAAAGTGAGAAACAATCTCAGGCACATTCAGCTATTTGATCTTTGACAAAGGGCCAATAACATACACTGGAGGAAAGATAACTTTTTTTTGGTACCAGGGATTGATCTCAGGACCTTGTGCTTGCGAAGCAGGTGGCGGCACCACTGAGCTAAATCCCTGGCTCCAAAAGATAACCTTTTTAATAAGTATTGCTGGGGAAACTGGCTATCTACAGGCAAAAGATTTAATCTAGACTCATCTCTCCCTGTGCACTAAACTAAAATCCAAATGGATCAAAGATAAATGTTAAAACAGAAACACTTAATCTGCTAATAAAATGGTAAAAATCATGAAGAGATAGGCATAGGCAAGGACTTATGAATAGAAACCCAATGGCATAAGAAATAGTACCAGAAATTAACAAATGGGATCATATAAAATTTAAAATGTTTTGTATAGCAAAGGAAACATGCAATAGAATGAAGAAACAACCTAAGGATAATATCTAGAATATATAAATAACAAAAAATTTGATCTGCTAAAATAAAAGACCCAACAAAAATATCCAAGTGAAATGAATAAAGAATTCTCAGAAGAAAATGTACAAGTGGCCAATGAATACATGAGAAAATGTTGTACTTTACATCACTAACCATTACAGAAAGACAATTTAAAACAACAATGAAATTTCACCTTACTCCGGAAAGAATGGCTATCTCTATGAAAAAAATAAAAACAAATGCTGGCAAGGCTGTTGGGGGAAAGGAACCCTTGTACATTGTTGGTGGGATTGTAAGCTAGTACAGCCACTATGGAAATCAGTATAGAAATTCCTCAAAATACTAAAATGAGAAATTCCATTTGATCCAGCTATTCCCCTTCTAGTTATCCTCCCAAAAGAGGTAAAGACATCATATTACAGTGACACATGCATACCAATTTTATAGCAGCCCAACTTAATTCTTGGAAGTGGTCTATATAGCCACCAACAGAGAATGCTTAAAGAAAATGTGATATTTATGAATAATGGAGTACGGCTCTGCCATAAAGAAGGATAAACTCACTTGAGTTATTGTAAGAAATTAGATAAAACTTTAGACCATAGTAAGTGAAATAAATCAGACACACAAGCTTAAGTGTCACTTTGTTTCTCTTATATGAGGAACAGAAGTATAAATAAAGATCAAAATTAAAGATAGACAATAGGAAGTAGGGACATAGACCTTTTTCAGATGGGAAGGGGGGCAAGAGGTGAAGGGGGGCAGCAGGAAGGGAGAGGAGGGACAGGGGATGAAAAAAAGAATTAAGATGTGTTGTACATGCACCAACTCCCCACAAAGAATGTAATCACTATGTACTGCAAACATGTACTAAGAAAAAATAAAACTGAAAAGAAAAAATAGCATAGTTAACTAAGTAGCTAAAATTAATAAAACTTAATAATAAAAATGATAATGAAATACAGCCAGAGGCTGTGGAGAGGGAAAAATGAGAGAAGTAAAATTTGAAAGGAAAGAAAAGAAAGATGAGAAGAACCAGAGACAAGTGATATAAAAATTCAATTAAAGAATGAAAAAAAGCTAATGGAAATTGGTACAAGAGAAAAAACAAACAAGAAAAAAAAAAAAAAGAAAACAGAATAAAACAGAGCAAACAAAAAAAAAAAGGAAAGAGAAAGAACCAAACAAAAACAAACAAGCAAACAAAGAGGAAAAAAAAAAACTAAAAAGAAAAAGAAATGAATCCAAAAATTCCTCTGCATATTTGGGTGAAGATTTCTTTCCAGGGCCTGTAGTACTGGCGTGCATTAGATACAGCTGAAACAGAGTGAGTAACAGCTGGGGCCAGTTTGTTTGCAAGCCCACTTTTGGCTGTGTGAATGTTGAGCTCTTCCTGCCTTTCCGACTGGGCAAGGGCAAGAGCATTCTGCCTGCCTTAGTCTGCATTCACTGCAGTGTTCTTTCCTGCATCCAGGTCGTGGCTGTCTCCACGTAGCTCTCTAATCTGTAGGCTTGTGAGCTGCTTCTCTGCTCCAGAGGTTTCTCTGTCCTTAAACTCTGGGGTGTGAGAACCATCCAAACTGTGGTTTCCCTGTTGACATTGGCAGATGGGGAGATCAGAGAGATCACTGCACTCTGTGCTGGAAGAGGCAACAAGGAGGGCCAAGGGATCTTCTGGACTTAATTCCAGCACTTTCTGACCTCGCCCACTCAGAAACCCACACACAACTGGCCTGGCATCTCCCTACAGAGGACAGAATCATTGTGTCTTTCCCAGACTGAGCCTACTGCTGCCTGAATTTCTCAGGATCTGTGACTAGCCTGTCGCCTGTATGCAACTGTCCCTTGTGCCCATCTCCCACTCACAAGCTACAGTGGAGCAGTCACTCTAGTATAATTGTTCCATTACTTCTGATTCCTGGAGCAGCTCAATCATAAGCAATAAAACTCTTTCCAAAGTAGCTCCTGATTATATCACCCCCAAATAAGTGGGCACACCTGCTTGCCATGCAGGGGTCACTCTCAGAGTAAAGCCCCCACGCTATATTTGCAGCTTACAATAACCATGGGGCTAGTGCTGCCTGTCTGTTGTTTGCCCTGGAGCTTCCAGTCATAACTGAGCTGACCTTATGTTTGCAAAGACAGAGTCCCACTCCCTGGGAGTGAGGGTTAGCGTTTCAGATTGCTTTGTTCTTTTCTCCATGATTT